AGGCGTCAATACCATGAGTGGCAGGTGGCTGAATTTTACGGAGACTTGCCATGGTCTCCAACCCTCCTCCCAATGTGGTGGCACACAATTCATGACAGTAAACTAGCATTGTTATTGATATCGAATTGAACGTAAGGAGAGTAGTCCTCAAACCTTAACTCTGCTTCTGTCGCGACTGTTAGGCCATTTCAGGCAGGACACCGTATCACCGGTCGATTTCTTCCAACCGCTACCAACCCTGAAAGGTCTCGACTTAACGCCACTAACTCCGAAGCAGTGCTGCCTGCTCTCAGCATATATTGACTGTATGGCTCGTAGCAACTGTTCCTCGATCCTGTATGTTTAAAAGCGCGCCCAACACTTGTTGCACTTAGTTCAGCCATAAGTTTTCTCCACGTCGGCAAAGTGTATATGTAAGCCATGCATTGTCTATTTAAAAACACACACATTTAGACTGTATTGGCCATGTCAGAATTATTCGATTGGTGTATTTTGCTATACATTTTAATTGTCTGTAGTGTGTTATTTTAGATCTGCACCAATGAGGCAAAGACAAAGGTACGCATTTTGAACGCTGACTGGAGTGATCTGTTGGCGTATGAATTGCTGGAAGCTGACGTTGTTATTGGCGCAGGTATAGCTTAAACGACTTTTTTTATATCACGGTTTTCAGTCATGACTGGACTGCGCCTGCATTTTAGTTCCTTATTGTCATTAAGTGGCGGTCATTTTGTGTTACATCGTAATTAATGATTCCTTGTCTGCAGTTTTTGATGCAGATGTCCTGAAGCGTTTATTTGCTCGTGTGTTTCCGTTTTTTAACCTGCTCCTTCTTCATATCTAGATATTACGTTCGATCCAGAGCTTTTCGATTGTTTGCTGACGCTGCTGTCTTGGCTTCAGAAACACGGAACCACTGAAATTCTGCTTTTTCACGTTCTACGAAACCAGCAGACTTTGGAAAAGCTGCTAATGGCATTTGGTAACGTCAGTTTTATATATATAAGTTCGTCATTTCTTTATGTTCTTCAGTTTATTTCAATGCTTACTATTTAAATCTCAGTTGGCTCACTGAAATCATTTCTTCTTTAGATCGTGCTGATGTTAATGTGACCATGGAAAAGCTACATCGTCCACTTCTTCAGGACCAACTCATACCATTTATCTCATCCGTTTCTTCTGAATGCATTTTATTGCGCTCGTCCGTTGAACCGCCTAACTAATTTTTAACTCCTTTCAGTCCATGGATTTTTCTTTTGCGGCGTAACCTAAATACATCTTCGTTTTTACCGGTTACATTTAATGAGAAATGCGCCGTCATCAAAGGCACGTTCATTAGCATTTCGTAGTGTTTCTGTTCAGCATTTGGTGCTAATAAAATTCGACGCAAATTTTAAAGATATGTTTTTATAACTATTAGGCACTATTTTCTGGAACATGAAGCAGCTCTTGGCAGGCATTAATTAATGCCAATGATTGACTGTACTTTGCATTAACCGTTGCACTCAAACAATTATGTGCCGTTTTCTAATCGGTTAACAGCAAGCGATCTATTAATTCATCTCCATTAACTGGACTGCACGTTGTAAGAGTCGTCTATCGACTGTTCGTATTTTTGAAATTTATAAAGGTGCTCTCGGTTGGATTTTCGGCACTTCGGGGGCGATTTTTAAGATGCCTTTGTTTCGAGGATTGGACATCCCTGTTAAAGCCGTACGTGTGTCGGCTTGGTTGTTTATCTGTAAATCACTCATTTTATTATTTAAATTACACCTTACTACGCCTTTTGCTAATGCAGATATCTATCGTATTGGTTAACTCTTATTGCTGCCGTAGAACACAGTAATAATACGACCAGCCTCCTAAGCTCTAGCAGACTATACCAAAGTACCACGCTGTTCCCATGTTTGTAACCGGCGTCTTAAAAAACGGTGATCGTTGATTATTTAATGCTGTGTTAATTTTCCGTGCGCGTGTATTTTGCTTGAATTCAATTAACAGCTTGGCAAATTAATTAGACGGAATTTTTTTTCCAGTATATTCAGGAAGGTGTGGATAAAAAGTTCGGAACAGAGACGGTAAATGAATTATCCCAACAAGTATTTAAAATCTTTGATGGTATGAGAATGCTATTCGCGCATTTCATTCTCTGAAATATACATCGAGAGAATTTATGCATGAGAGCACCATTTCTAAGTTATTAAAGGGATTGCGCCGTCAATGTAACTTTAATACGGAAAATCAGTCTTGGCGAAAGGAAAGGAAATCATGCAATTCTACAAGCGAATCATCAGTGTCAAATGATGCTGAGTTTTCTCTAATGTGACTATGCATGCGTTTCTGAATAATGTACAGTCAATCATGATGACATTTCATCCATTATACTTGGCTTCTAACGGAATAGTTAAACGGACAGTTCGAATGTCATCTTGCGGAGTAACATTTTGGAGCGACACTCATTTCGCTCTTTCACGTGTAAGTACGATTCCTTACAAAAACTGAAATGGCTTGAGAGAAAAAAGAGAAGGCCTCCCACAGAAAGTACGAAGTATTTACAGTGCTCTGAGTTGCAATGCGAGGTGCTGGTCATTTATCAGAGCGAGCACCTTAACGGTCGGCTGATCTTTTCTGATCCCATTTTGCTAATTGTTACCAAGGTGAGAGAGATATCCTTATACTTCGTATATTGGAGTACCTTTGAGTGTTGTGCTGGCAGTTTCAGTGTTCATGCATCTCCCCTCTAGTGATTTACGCATCTTCCGTATTTGTTGGAGTCGTGTTGGCTGATGACCTTAAAATGCTATGAAGCAACTTGAGGTTGCATGCTAAAGCAACCGGTTTACTACATCAATGGATGGCCTCATTGATGGTCAGATACATTTGTTTTGCCACTGAGACCTTCCCGAACAACATCCTAACGGATTCGTTTCACAAAATGCATGATGTTTTGACCAGCTGTGAATCAAAGGAGTGTTCCACGCTTACTGCGGCCTTCAGAAGCTGGATGCTGCCTCATCTGATCTGGATTCCGAACGACTATAGTCAATTCAACGACAAGTTACGTGCAAATTTTATGCGAAGATTTACGCCTATGCTCATTGCATGTAACTCTATCTCACTCAGTTGCTGGAATTGCCGATGAGAGAATACCTGCGGTCCACTACAGTCACAAATAAACAGATTTCTTTCCTAAATTATCGAGGTTATATTAAGCTTTGAAGCTGACCTAAGTATTTTACAGCTTACTAACGAATCAACCTTCTTTAAATTGTTAGCAACTGCCTCAGGAATATATATTTCTGTCATAAAAATGGTTGTGAGTTAGTGAGCGATTCACTTATTTGAACATTTGCGGTTCTCTTTTAAGTGTCATACAAGGTGAAAAACAGATAGTTAAAGTCAAACTTCTAACTAACCCTCTTGAAATTTATCGTATTTAAGTTTCATTCAAAGAGTATCAACCTTGCAGGTACTAACATTGTTTTTTTGGCTCAAAAAGCATCCAAAAATGACGGTGATTTTTTATTTTAAAAAATTTGGCTCTCTGAAGCTCAGAAGTATCTATATTTACTTTTTGAGTAAACTGAATGGCATTTGCATGAAACGTTTCAGTTTACTTTACTTTTTCTTTTTGCTGAACGTATGTTACATGGTTGTATCGCATCTTTTTTACTACAAACTGTATGCATACGCAATCAGCGTAAAGTTTCGAAATCATTTGCATTTCATTTCATTAAATCATTCATAACCAACGTTGACTCAACTTGGGTGCATAACAGTGAATTATATTGCAAATTATACAGTATGACATTAATTGACTGATAGGTGATGTTAATCATGTGCTGAAGGGTAGAAGTAGCATGCTGTTGAACGACTGTGAGGCGAGAGAATAGATAGCCAAGTGGCTCAATGCATTCGATGAGTAGTAGAACACTGCATGCTGGTTTCGCGGGA